AAAGGAAACACCTTTTAACCAAAAGGGTTGTATGTCTAATACTAGCACTTCAGTCACTAGTAAAAAGGTGAATAGAAACATGGCAGACAGGATTGGTGCCTCAAATCACTGGCAACACCACGTCCTTGTCCTCAGGTTAGACTTGAGGCTTTCATCATTTCCGTGCTGCACTCACTGGTGAATTTTAGGATCATCAGAAACTTTTAGTCCTTTAATGTAGTAGTAAAATTTTAAATGTACTTGAAAAAAATATAATTAATCATCTTTGCTCTGTGACATGTATTTTTCTAAATAGCAAGATTTAAAATAATAAATGATATGGAAAAGTTGAGCATTAGAAATGTAAAGTTAATTCTTCAATCCCATTTTTTAAATGGGATGGTAAATGACATTTTAGAAAATATAATCAACCAGAATTATAATTGGAAAAAAAGGAGAGACTAAGCCTCAATGTGTGCTTAGTCTGTGTTTGAGGCCTACCCAGTACTTTTTCCCTCCTTTTAACTCTCAATTATTATCAAGTAAACATCGACATGGCCCACACGCCCATGTGTTGCCACAGGTGATGTGGATAACTTGGAGAAAAAGGTGGATGTTCCTATTCTAATACATTTGCTCCTTTTTAAAGTCAGCTCTACTGAGGTAAATTTAAATATAATAAAAATCACCAATTTTGAGTTTACGATTAAATGTGTTTTGACAAATGTACATAGTTACAGGACCATCATAACCATGATATAGAGCATTTCTATCAAGCCCAAAGTTCCCTCATGCCCATTCCCTACCTCCAGGTCCTGGAAACACTGACCAGTCACTCTATTGTTTACTTTTCTAGAGTTTCATGTAAATGAAATCATAAAATATGTCTTTGGTACCTGGCTTCTTTTTTTTTTTTTTTTTTTAATTATTATTTATTTATTTATTTATTTTTGGCTGTGTTGGGTCTTCGTTTCTGTGCGAGGGCTTTCTCCAGTTGCGGCAAGCAGGGGCCACTCTGCATTGCGGCGCGCGGGCCTCTCACTATTGTGGCCTCTCTTGTTGCGGAGCACAGGCTCCAGACGTGCAGGCTCAGTAGTTGTGGCTCATGGGCCCAGTTGCTCTGTGGAATGTGGGATCTTCCCAGACCAGGGCTCGAACCCGTGTCCCCTGCATCGGCAGGCGGATTCTCAACCGCTGCACCACCAGGGAAGCCCCCAGGTACCTGGCTTCTTTAAGCATACTGTCTTTGAGATTCACCTAGGTGTCATATGTAACAATAGCTTTTCATTACTATTTTATTACTACTATTGCTAGTATTCCATTGTAAGGCTATACCACGATTTGTTTATCTATTTAGCATTTAATGGATATTTAGGTTGTTTCCAGGTTTTAGCTATTATGAATACATCTTTCAGCCTTATTTTAATAACAACCAAGAAATTCTTCTTTACTGCCATTGCTTTTATTCCAATTTGTAAAATATGGTAATATATAAGTTTGGTTAAGTGAGATCATCAATATTTTGAGTAAGAACTGAATGAAAACCATTTGGGGAAGCCTGGCCCAGCTATCTTTTACAAGGCTCTCCCACCCAGCTGGAATTGACTTCTTATTTTTCTGTGCTTTAGTAGTTTTATTCCCTAGTACCTTTCTTGTGGTATACTTCACCTTTTACCTTCTATTTTGGCCATTTTGAATTCCCTGTTGGGACAAAGGCTATGCCATATTTATGTATCTTTGTTTGACCTGTGCCTAACAGAGTGTCTTTCAGAGTTATGTTAAATATTAAATGAATTGGTTTGGATTCTTCTCTGATCACTTCCTTGGATAACTGATTTTTATTAATTCTTTCAACCCATTACTGCATTACCTGTAGGGTGTTATAAAATAAGGTTCCTAAATCAAAATATTTCAAATCCCATCTCTGCCTTTACAGCATTTACAGTAACCTTTGAGCAGATTTCTAATTCTTTATGACCCTCCCTTTTTTTCTTTTTCCAACTATAATGTGAGAGGATTTGATTAAACAAATTTGAGATTCCTTCTCAGTTCTAAAATGTTAAGATTTTATAAAAAACCTGCTAAGTCAGAAAGAACCTGCAAGGTGAGAGGGCAACATAGAAGGAAAGGGGTATATAAAGAAGGTAGGAAAGCAAAAATATGTCGTGTTTTTATGCAATTGAAAATAAAATGTGTAGTTTCTTAAACAGAGTAAAAGTTGGGCAAGGATTCAAGCAACAAAAGTTGATGTGTAACAACATTTGTTGGTAGAGCATTCTTTTAAATTGTTTTATAAGGAGAACTACAATAAGACAGTAGTTCTTTTCTCTAGTAAATTTAGGAGATCAGTAATTAGGTTCCTCATTCTGAAAATTACTGGTGAGACTGGCAGCCCCTTTGTGTAAGTGAACCATAAGCCCCAGTTTACAAAGGGTAGTCCCAGTTATGACTGTTTGTCTTGGTATAATTACTTATTATTAATTATTAATAATGCCCGTTTTCACTCTCAAATGGGTATTGGTTTTGAACAATGCATTTTTTGGTCACCCAATTACTGGAGATCTCAGAGTCCTAGGTCTCCCGACCTATATCCCCTGCTCTAGCTAGGGTTCTGTCTCGGTGATGGTTACTCAGTGAAAGAATCCGCAGTGCTCTCTTCAAGCTAACCCCTTCAGCGGCAGCATCTCCATCTGGCAACACCATTAGAGGCATTCTCTTCCATACACTCTTCTCTCTTTCTTTTCACGTCTGGAAAGTTTTTGCCTCCTCATATAAGACTTGAGCAGATTCTGCAGCTTCACTTAAAGACTGCAGCCTTCTTTCCCCTATGGCAAGTATATAAGAACATCCGTTCATTAAACATTCACTACCCACTTCCTGTGTGCCATGTACTGAGCTGGGCTCATGGTTATAGGGAGACAAAGATGGCAAAAAGGGACAGACAAGTAAACCAATAACCAAAGTGTGATAAATGCTATCTTCGTAGGATGCATACATACACAACATATACTGATGTCACTGTAGAAAGAACAATTTAGGAGAGAGGGGAAAGAGAGGAGGAGAAATTTGAGCAGACCCTAAAGGAGCAGTATACATTGAGCAGGGGTGACGGGTTGGTGGGAGGCAGAGAGGGGTGAGGTGGGCGGGGGGAAAAGAACATCCCAGCAAAACACAGAGACGGGCTTCCCTGGTGGCGCAGTGGTTGAGAGTCTGCCTGCCGATGCAGGGGACACGGGTTCGTGCCCCGGTCCGCGAAGATCCCACATGCCGTGGAGCGGCGGGGCCCGTGAGCCATGGCCGCTGAGCCTGCGCGTCCGGAGCCTGTCCTCCGCAACGGGAGAGGCCACGACAGTGAGAGGCCTGCGTACCGCAAAAACAAACAAACAAACAAGAAACGCAGAGACATGTGCAGCTTTCCATGGCCAGAAAATATGTGGTATGACTGGGGAGGCAACAAGTGGCCTCAACGGACCATCCATGTGTTGCAGTATACCAGTTTGGAACTGAGTGTGAGGCAAGACCTTGGAGCAAGTCCACGGGGTGTTGTTGTTACTAGAAGTACCAGAAGGGACCTTATTTCACATTTAGCGTGGCCCCCTGATGATCCATTTGATTGAGGTGTGGGTGTATTTTCATTCTGGAATTTTGTACTACAACATTACCACATGCATTGACCTATTACAATACAGAATTTCCTTATGTTGCTTTATGATTAGAAGCCAGTGATTTGAAGTTCCACAGCAGTACATAGACTAGTGATAGCTTTATGGAATTGTTTATTTTTAGTTTGGCAAGACAAGACAGTAAATACTCTCAATTAGTAAACTAAAGCAGCATGGATGAGAAATGCCCACAAGAAGATTAGGAGTTAGAAATAACTAAGCCAGTTAATTGAAGGAAACTTTTATATCACTTACCCATATTTAGAGAATAAAGAACCAACCTAATGTGTGTATGTGTCAGTGTGTGTGTGTTTGTGTGTATGTGTGTGTGCTCACACACAGTGTCATTATCCACAGTGGTGCCAGTGATGAGGTCCTTTGCATTCTTCAGGTTCTAATTGTTTAGGAAGTTTCTCTCTTTAGGAGCCACTGTGATTGGATATTGACCCATCCACTGGTCAATATCCAGTCACAGTGGGGTGAGATACATCGTCTTTGACTACAGAAGCTTCTCATCCTGCAGTTTCTTTCAATGTGACCCCAAAGGGATCTTATTATGAAGTGCTGGGAGAAGTTTTTTATTTTCATATTTCTATTCACATTACATGGCCTAATGTGTGAAAATATTTAATGAAAACATGCATGTGGTACTGCAGAATCATTTACTTGCCTCCAGATAGAATCTCCTACATTATATTTGAGATTCCGTTTTAAGCTTGGGAGGAAAAGCAGAGGTGATCTACAAAACTTAGTTTCAAGAATTTAAGTTTTGGGTGTATTGAGTCATGCTGTTCCTGTAACTTCAGGATCTTTAGGAAATATTGACCATTCAAAAGAAAAAAGATGGGCTTCCCTGGTGGCGCAGTGGTTGAGAGTCCACCTTTCGTGCCCTGGTCCGGGAAGATCCCAAGTGCCGCGGAGCGGTTAGGCCTGTGAGCCATGGCCGCTGAGCCTGTGGGTCCGGAGCCTGTGCTCTGCAACGGAAGAGGCCACAATAGCGAGAGGCCCGCGTACCGCAAAAAAAAAAAAAAGATTAATTGGAGGTACGTAACATTGAGAATATTATAGAGAACGGTGTTTGTGTTTTAAAGTTACAAAATAGCATTATTCAGTTGTCATGATTTTTTGATTTTTAAAGTTGCTTACTTTAGTCAATTTAGATTTATGGCAAGTATTTAACATTGTATGAAAGGTCCTTTGGAGTTTCTGCCTAAAGTAAGGGGGAGTCTGTAGAAAGACTGTTGTCTACTTATGCTTAACAATTTACTATGTATCAGCTCTCTGTGGTCTGTAGGGGAAATGATGGGGCTTAGTGCATCTGTAGTTTAAATTTCTGTCTGTCTCCTCTCTGCCTTGTAGGCTGGAAAAAGATAGCATTCAGCAGAGCTTTAGCAGTGATGCAAAGGCCCAAGCCCTTCAGGCCCAGCAAAGAGAGCAGGAGCTGACACAGAAGATACAGCAAATGGAGGCCCAGCATGACAAAACTGGTAGGTGGTATGGAAAGATTAGAGCCTGGGCACTTGCTCACAAGCCAGGCCCACGCCTTACTGTGAAATGACATCAGGAACACCTGTAACCTTTGGCTGGCCGAAGGGAGCAGATGCTAACTACACCGGAGATTCCGAATTACATATTAGTTAGCGTTTAAAAGAGAAAATGGAAAGTATTGCCCACTGTCTGTTGATTTCAGAGTGCTGCTCTCACATCTGTTGCACCATCTGGATTATGAGTTTATTTACCTGTGTTCAAGAAACGTAAAGCTGAGAGAGACCACAACAAAGTAGAAAAACAAAGGGCTTGTTTTTGGCTGGGTTTTCAGGCACACATGTTATATAAAGAAAATAGCATCAGAAGCTCTGCGGGAAATGCTCTGAGCTTACAGTTAGAGCCTCCTGAATAGCATTGAACAGTTCCCACAGTACACACATTATAGCTACTCTAAAAGCCTAATGAGTTTGCTTCAGCATCCAAACTGGAGAAAAGCTTTAGCCATTAATCGGTTCTTAATTCACTGTCGCAGCTGGATGTAATTCAGTGGCTCCAAATTGATATGTTCCTTTATTTAATCTTTGCAGCTTCGAACATTTTTAGCATTTGTATGATTTCCCCACCTCCCCCAACCCCGTCTAGAGTGATGTTTAATCCTTTGCATTCTTCAAGTTCTCACAACTGCTGTTAAAATTCACTAATACAAGGCACTGACCACAGCTGGCAGCTTGGCTAAAAATTGCCATCTTTCATCACATTGGCACTATTCTGCAGACTGAGTTGGCCAGTAACTCTTTACCTTTAATTTGAAAGTAAAATGCACTTTGAAAATAGGCAGTTTGATTTGTTCAGTCGGAGCATTATGTAGTTCCTTTCACTTTTGAGTTGTGTGTTCACAGACAGTGTTAGTCAAAACAAGACAGTGTCAGTCATTATAATTCCACACCACATACACCAAGCTGATTGTACTATTAAAACAAAAGTTTAATTGATCCTGTTTCTTCCAGAAAAATGTTGATTAATTTTTAGTGCCTTGATATATTTTGCTTTGTATGCTATATGCTTTTTTGTCAGTCATTGTCTAAAACTAAAAAGAAAGGGCCTGTTAAACCTTTCACCTAAAGATAATTTTCATGTGATTTGGTGTATACTATATTTGATGACATGGTAATAAATGGTTGCTTTTCCTGTAAGTGAAAAATTGCTAATGTAAAATTCATTAAATAATCTGTTTGCTAATAAAGAGGCAAATGTCATACTGATCCACATAATTCACTCCATCACTTTCAGTAGAGATTTTCTTCTCACACTGTTTGGCCAGAAGAAATGAAAATTCTCCAGGCTTGGTAGTTGTTTTTCCACTAAAAACAAAAGGAGAAGATTACAGGATGAATTATTGTTTGCCTCCACTACTATCAGGATGCCGTTGATCAAGGAGTCTTGGGCAGTATCTCTGAGTGCTAGATAAGAGTATTAACTGAACCACCATGAGAATACTTCCTTTTGTTTTGCACAAAAATACATACTCTCTTCAGTTTCTTTGATCAGATCTTCATTGAAGCTCACACTAAATAGATGAGGAAAATTATTTATTTCCAATAAAATAAGGAAAGTTATGTATTTTTCTTTTATGATTAGAGAAGTATATGCAAGATGAGAGTAGTGAAATATGGGAGCAGATATGAAACATAAAGCATGAATTACAGTGTAGAAAGAGTTCCTCAATTATTTTAGTTTTGAATTATCTGTTGTGATAAATTTGACACTGTTTATAGTAAAATTATCAAAATAAAAATATATTGCATATTACAAAGATATAAGCATCTATGACTCCACTTGAGGTATTTGACAATTTATTAACATGTTAAAAATTACACAAAGCTGATATGATCAGAAATGTTTCTGGTGTGTAATTATTAGGGAAATAAATGTCTCACAAGATTTAGTGTCTTGCCAGATGAGCATTCCTTTGACCTCGGACCGTAAAAGTGATCTAGCGTCTTATAGGAAAAGTGTGGTTGTCTTAGCACTTTTACCACTATACATGTGGAAGCACTGCAGAGCTACAACCATAAACATCTTATGTTGCTGGGGGGGGGGGGGTATTGTTATTTCTAGAAAATGAACAGTATTCATTGCTGACCTCCCAGAATTCATTTCTGACAAAGTTAAAGGAAGAGTGCTGCACATTAGCCAAGAAACTGGAACAAATCTCTCAGAAAAGCAGGTGGGTAATAATAATACAATACTTTCAGAGCACTGTTTATATGAATACTGTAATTTTTTTCTTAAAAGACAGCATTTCCACTATTTTATATTCTAATGTCAAAATTAGATATGTATTGACATATTTCCTGTAAAAAACCTTTTCTCTCTATGAAAATTTTCTTAATTATCCATACAGACACCTTGATGTTTTTTCATAATTAGGTATACATACTATAATTTGACTTTTTTAACATTCAGAATTGAAAATTATGAAATTTCAGAGCACAAGGGTCAAGATGGCATCCTTTTGATAAAGGATGCAGATAAATCAAGCAGTTCTAAAGTCATATTTTAACACAGCTAACATATTTTAGTCTATTATCATAGTTCTCCATGAACACATAAAAGCTATCTTTAAGGCAAATGATAATGAATAAAATACGAATGTATAAAAATAAAAGTAGATGATACTTTGTAATAAACCAAAACCATCTTTTCTTTCTCCTAAAATTGTTTTATTTTAATAAAATAGCCATCATTGATTTTGTAGGTACATGCTCTTTTATAAATCCACTGATTGGGTTCTTAATGAATTTTTTTCTGTACATTTTCTAATCATATTATCTCAATAAATGAATTACTTACATTCTAAATTCTAAGAAGCCTGAGTTCTCATCTTAGCTCTGACAGTAGCTGTGTAATCTTGGACAAATTTATTTGACCTGCTTGAACTGTGGTTTCCTCTTGTAAATGAATGATGTTGAACAGAATCACTTTGACTTGAACTCAAAAGAAATCATTCATTTAACTAGCTAGGTATAAAATGTCGCATTACAGTAAAACCTAATGGGAAAATAATCTGTGTATCTTCTCTTGCATACTTTTCTGAAACTCACTTAAATCATCAAAGAACAAGCAATAGGGCTCAGCAAACCAACTACTGATTTAGGTTTATTATTCAGAAAGAATTTCTAGGAGGGTCAGAGCATGTCTGATCACTCTGAGCCCTATCTTGGGTTCCTGCATCAATAAGCTGGCTTACCTTATGGAAACCCCATCCCTGAATTTTTTGGAAAATGAGGGGGCTTATGAATCCAGTTCTTTCTGCTCACAGGAAGGCAGAAGCTCCTATAACCACCCAGAATGTGCTCTGAACATGCACCCTCTTAGTGAATACTAATTAAGTATCTTGTTTGGGATGGGAAAAGGCTTAGTGTACCAAAATACCCAGTATTTTCAAGAAATTTGACAAGGAAACCCAAATAATTTTGCTGTGGAAGAGACCCTCATAATATATCAGCAGGAGGTATTCCTAAGTAGAAATATTTGATTTACCTCACATAGATATAAACAGACTAGATTAATAATTTAGGCAAAAATTATTTTGGATTGGGTCTTAAAAGATTGTGTTATCTTAAGATTGCTTTGGGATTGATTGTTGATTAATTATCTTGCTGTCTAAGGAGATATAATTGAGGAAATGGAAGTGTATAAAAGAGAAAGAGAAGCTATATGCTTGCTATATATTATTTAATTCTCACAACAGCCTGAGACATGAATTATTATCTTCTTTTACAGAGGAGGAAACCAATACTCAGAGTGTTTAAATAGCTAGTAAGTAGGAGCACTAGAATTCTAACTTAGACATTTCTGGTTCCAAAGCCTATGATCTTTCTTACAATAAGTATAATTATTTTATATCTACTACTAAAGAAAATCCAGGCCAAAGTAGTTACAATGGGAAAGTTTAGGAAAGAAAAATTAATCTTTATATTTCCATGGAGAAGTAAGCATACTTGGCATGTGAGGGTTAACCTGTGAGCCTGGGTTAACCTGTGAGCCTGGGTTAACCTGTGCCATGTGCCCTGAGGCCTTCTTTCCCCTGCTCTAGGTCTGTCAATTTACCCTGTACTAGTCTAGTGAACTTGAACCTCAGCCTCTCTTCTCTTCAATTCCTCTCACTTCTGACTCTAGCTCCTGACGGCTACTTTGTAAATTGAATAAAGTGTTCCTTTATGTCTGATACACAGCTGGCACCTGATACATATTTACTGAATGAATGAATGAAACAAACAAGCATGGTGCTACTACCCCCTGTATCCTGATCTGACTCTGATTCCAGACTATTCCTTTGTTGATGACAGGCAGTGTGCAGTAAAAAACACTTTGGAATTCAGAAGGAACAAGGTTTGAATCTTGCTCTGCCACTTAGCTTCATAACCTTGCATACATCGCTTAATTTCTCCAAACCTCAGCTTCTCCATCTGTAAAAACCTTTTAAAAACTGTGTTGCAGGATTATGGTGGGAATTCGAAATTTAGAGAGATGTATATAGGTACACACATATACATAGCAGCTAACACCATGCTTGACCCATAGAAGTATACAGTAGGTGCTATTGCTGTCATTGATGGTATCATTTTAAGGGTCTTGACTGGCAATTAGAATATCACTTCACCTAGCTACTATTGTCTTTGCCAGAGTCTGAGTGCCATAATTCTCTGACAGACATAAAATCTATGCCACAATGGAAAACCTTTCTGAAGGCAATGCAAGATGAGGAAAATGTGGATTTGGTTGTGTTTCAGCTCCTGCTCTGGTACCTTGTCTTGTAAGTCTGAAGAGTTAAAATACGCATCTACTGTAACTTTATAAGTTGATCCGAAACTAAAACCTAGCAAATAATAAAGACTAGATAAGTTGTAACTTATTACTGTTAAAACTTTTAAGTGCCCCTAAAACTTACAAACTGTACATTTTGTGTGTCTCACAAGAAATTAGCATTATAAATAGGATAAATTGTGATTTGGTGGTGGTGGGGGGTTGTTCGTTTGTTTACTCTTCTCATTTCACTCTGGCTTCCTACATGAAAGACACTCCATTTTGATATTACCTTTGCTTTGAAAACACCTATAAAACTTGAAGGGCTCAGAGTGTTTCTTTTAAAGTAAAGCTATACATTTATTAAGCCTTGTAGAAGCCCTCCAGGAGTGAGCCTCTACATACCCTCTTTTAGGATAAATAATTCCCCCTGTGCTTTGAAGTGAGGAAATCCTGAAGTTTTTTGAGCTTTCTAAACTGTTGTCATTGTGACAGCACAGTCTCCAAAATAATTACTTAGACCATATGGTAATTTTAATCCAGGTTTTCCTCAGAGTACTGCAGTAAAATTTTTCCTGAAAGTAAGTGTATTTATTTCATGTTGACTAACAATTTAAACATTTTTTTTGGTCTAAGAGTTTCATGTTATTCAAAATCCCATGCTAAATAAATGGATTCATACCATTTAAAATATGATTTTTTTTTTTTTTTTTTTAAACTCACAGATCTAGTCCTCTGACTAGAGCCCCTGAAGAATCCCTGGGAAAGCTGACAATCTGGGAGCACCAATCCCAGACACTCTTACTCTCTATCCCATCCTCATGCTAGGCTGCTTTATGAAAGTGTTTAGAAATGGTTCCTCCGTGTGTGTGTCCTGTTATATGTGTTTCTCCCCAAGTAGATAGATGGAAGTCATATTATGGCTGTGCCTATTGCTTCTGCTGTCTGCAAGCCCTCCACAGTGAAGAGCCGGTACTTCCTGCACAGTATGCCTTCCACACTGCTCGGGTGGTGTCTGTAACCCCAGGGTTTGTGAATGGCACATCCCAGTTTAAAACTAAAAGTGAACTGCCAATTCCATGCATTTTATATAGCTTGTTTTTGAGCATCAGACAAGACAAGTAATTCCATTTTGCTTTTAATTGGCACTAGGCAGACATTCTGGCTGATTTTAGATGAAACTCACATAAACTTCAGCTCCCTTTTGTCTTTATTCCCCAGGACTCTGAGAGCTTATTACAGTGGTAGGGTTGTTTCTGAAGTTGGTAAATGGAGATATTTAAATATCTTTGGTGCAACTGTGATTTTTCTTTATCAAAGTGAAGGAGGTGTTCCCTGTCCCCAGGCACTTAGATGAATCAGCAGG